AAAAAGGCTTCTCAATTGTTAAAAAAGTTTTCAATTATTAATAAAATGTCCTCTACATTTGATTTGACTTTGCCTTCTCTTGAAATTCAGGAAGTTTATGTAGACGATGAGGAAGAATACATACCTCTTTTAACAACTCATCGGCATTATTTTGATCATCCAGAATCAGATAATAAGGAAGAAGAAGAAAAGATGAAACTAAGCACAGGAGGTGCCCGCACAAAAAAACATAAGTCATTAGAAAACAAATGAGAATTGCCACTACCATCCTCAGACTTTGAACCATTCGTCCATCAGAGGCCACTGCATCGAGCATTTGTTTGGCTGCTGTCACATCTTGATGCCAGTGTCTCTAGGCCTATCGATTTTTTTTTTCTTTTTTTTCCACTTAGCATGCTGGACACAATTGTTGAGAATACGAATCTTTATGCCTTAACAAAAGGTGCTGGTGTAATTGGTAGACAATGGTTGGACTTAAGTCATAAGGAGCTCATTATCTGGATTGCACTTGTTATTTATCAAGAACTTTATAGATTGTCCTCTCTTGACCAATATTGGAATGAAGATGAAAAGCTTCCTTTATATCATATTTCAAAACAAATGTCATTAAAACATTTTGAAATAATTAAGAGGTTCTTACATATTTCGTCTCCTGCTGTGACAATTAATAATTATTTTGAGAAGTTGGAGTCATTGCTTTCACATATCCGTAATGTCTCGAAGCAACTTTACGTACCAAATTCGAATGTCTCTGTGGATGAAATGGTTATTCGATTTTCTGGAAGAAGCATTCATACTGTTAGAATCAAAAACAAGCCAATCCTAGAAGGCTTTAAAATTTTATCTCTTTGTGAATCGGGATACACTTATACCTTTTTGCCAACGTCATGTGTCTCTCCAAATAATGTAATGAAAATGTATGGTCTTAGTAAAACTGGGTGTTTAGTTTACCATCTTGTTGAGCAACTTCCATATTCTGAATTTTCATTCAATATATATATGGATAACTATTTTACTAGCATTCTTCTTTTTCAATATCTTCGACAAATCAATATCGGTGCTTGTGGAACCATCCGGAAAACTTCCTCTGGTTTTCCAAAAGAATTAAAGATAGACAAAAATATCAAACTCAATTGGGATATTCACACTGGTATCATAATAAACGGTGCATTGGTTGTTTTCTGGCAAGATAATGGTCTCATAACAATGTTGACAACAATCCATAGGCTCATTGGTGATGAATGGGAAGTGGAACGAGAAAGACGACAACCAAGAGAAACAAGCACTAATGCAGTAAAAGTGCGCGCAGTATTTGGAACTAAATCAAAAAAAAAATTAAAAATTCCCAGAGTAATAGATGACTACAATAACTACATGAATGGTGTAGATGTTGCAGACCAATTATGATCTTATTACAGCATGCAGTAAACAACTCGGTGAAATTGGATGCCACTTTTTTTTTGGCTTTTAGACACGGCTATTATCAATGCATATTGGATTATCATAACTTCAGGATTGACAAAAGAGCATAAGGAGTTTCATCTGGAGCTTGTTTGGGACCTTGTCAATTTCGCAAATGATACTGGCAAAATTCAACTAAGAAATTCAACAAATTCAA